TCGGCCTCGCTGTTCAATATGAGAAGACATGACTGCGATAATAAGATTTGTGAATTACTGCTCCTTTGATGAGGACCAGTTAGTATTCTCCATTAAATAAGTTGTCAATCGAAAGACTTAAAACACAAGGTCGATTGATCAATGGGTCAAGTGAGCAAAGCAATTAAATTTCTTACACTTAGACGTGACATCACTCGAAAACGACAGATTAAAGGTCAGCAACAATCAATCATAATCGAGGTCAACAGGGTAAACTGTTAGTCATATGTAGAGAAATTAGAACACTTCACTTCTATCTGAAGTTTCTGTTGATAATGTCATTGTTCTTTTGAACAGATCGATGAAAGCTCCACAACCAATCTATTCGCCTAAAAGTACGAAACTTCGTCATATTCTTATGGCCAGTATTTTCACCTTAATACTCTAAACAGAAACTCAGAGTTGTTAAGTTTCATTCTGTATTCTTGATATAGTGCAGAGGTTTCTGATTGTTATCAAAATTGTTTAAACAAATCGTCTAAAAATTCAATAGAATAGAGATGTGTGACACTCATATTTATTGAGTAGGAAAGCATACTTTATTCTAGCTTAAATCAGTAACAAACATTTTGATTACCTAATGAATGAAATTTATATTTAATTGTTTGCGAAATTACTTGGAACAAAGTTAACAATCAATCGATATCAACAAAAAACATTTATTTTCAGTATCTTGTTTTGCAGATGGTTAAGTTTCATTGATATGATCAATTGATCATTGTTAGACAACCATTGGAAACGTGGAAGCATCGGATCGCAATTACGTCCCACTACCGGGACTTATAAGTTACCTACTGAAGACAATGGATGAGGACGTAAAATACAGCCACCGAAATAATGATCTTCGATAAACAGCGAATATATAACAACAAGTACTTATTTTAACTAACTTGGAAATGTTTTTCACTCTTGCGTGTTACACCATCTTAAATCAGTGATTCTTTAAATGAAATTTGAAAGATTGGGTTGTTGTGAAGTAACACTCGTTCTCGTTTAAACTATTCATTTCATGAGAACTGAACAGAACTGAACTGTAACTTTAATGATCGAATTGTCGATTGACAACACATTATTGAACGGTTTTTTCTACCGAAAATGATAAGAATCAATAGAACCCGAAGGAAACACTGTCTTGTTCGATCAAGTAGTAAGTGAGTGAACAATTCACTAATCATTAAAAATCACCATCATACCCAATAGTCCGTAATATTTATTGGTTTTAGTTACGAACATAGTTACTTGATGTGAACATCAATATTGATGAATGTGTGCATGTTTGATGAATGATTTCAAAGTATGGTGAATTATTTGTCTGTTTGTTGTACTTAAGTTAAACTCATTCGCATTTGAATGAAGATGGTGGATTTTATGTTCAAGTTGACTGAATGATTGTTAGTTGGCCAGTTGTTTGACGCTCCCTAACCTAACACGTCTCGAATCTGATTTCGCCACAATTAGACGCCATCCATAGATACATGATTGATTGTGTTTAAAAATAAACACACTCTAACAAACTGAATATTTATTACACCATACCTCCACTAATTAGAGTAGTATTTAGTTTTTTTCTGAACAAAAGGAATCACATCATCTTCTACTGAATTCTCACACAGTCAACAAGTATTCACTAATTTCCTCTATCCCGGGGCCTTTCTTTCAAGCTCTGTCCAACTGCTGTTCATACTTTTGACGACTGTCTCCATTTCTTGGTATAATTTGTCCTTTAGTCTGCCTTTTTTCTTTTAACCTTAAGGGTACAAGGTTAGGGCTTCTGGTGATATGCAGTTGGGTGATTTCCTCAATATGTCTCCTCACCACCTCTAGCGGTTATTTTTAATTTCTTCCTGAGCTAGAATTTAATTTGTTCTCTACCACAGATACTTAAATTTATAATATTTACTAAACAGAAATCATTGTCAAGTTTACATATTTAAAAATTATCATAATAATAGGTTTTTATCAATGAAGTTTTCCAATCAGATATCAGATTATTTCCATATTCTACAAACTATCTCTCTCAAACTAGATGTTCTTAGATCTAAAGGAACACAAGATCTGATTTTTTATCTTACTTATTTACGCCTGTTGCTCCTAATGGAGCAGATGCCACCTACCAGTCAATCATTTTTTCAGGTTAGCTCGTTTTAACTAGTTGAAATTCTACGGGATAGGGTCGGTAACCCCATGCCTGACTCTCCTCCTTCATCCGGGCTTTAGACTGGCAGTAAATCTAGAAAGGCTTCAGGCGGAGTTCCTTTTGGGGACGTTAGATCCCTAGAAATCGCTTGATAAATGCCTTAATTTTGAAGTTTATGTTTCCGAGCACGGGCTGATAAGCTGACCTTGAAATTTCATTTCGCACCAGGAAAATCCTTGGCCGTGATTGGTTGCTGTTTATTTTAGTGTGCTACTTTTGTGACTCTCCCAAGGACGTTTCTTTGATGTATAAATAAACGCGATTTGTATGCTTGAATTCATTGTGCTTGCTGAGTGTTTGTAGAATACACTTTCTACGCTATATCAAGATTTCTCGTTAGGTGTTTGGGATGAGTGGATCAGAGTAGCCTACCTGGACGCTGGTTCACTGTCTCGTTCTTGTTTATCGACTACAGTGAATCCGTAATAGTTTCAAGCATACCTAGTGACGATCATAACAGTTCTAATTTCCTGTGAGACTCTAATAATCGCAGACTAAGTCTATACGGTGACTTAAACTCAATTAAAATTCGCAAAGTACGGAAAGAACCGTCTACCCCGAGTTTAGTTCATATTTTAGGAAAATGAGAATAATTCTTAAGTTAAACATGTCCTTAGGTTGAATGGTAGTTCAAGTATCTATTCCGGTTGGTTCGATTTT